TACTGAGACTTTATGTTTTTCCTCTTTATTTTTATGAGTATGTTTGTTAACTTTCTTTGTGGTTACCATGAAATTTACCCTCATCTTTCTAAGTTCGAAGCAGTCTATTATTACTTGGTATTGCCTTGCCTTCCTCTCTGTTAGAAGGTTCTATAACTACACCGTTTATTCCCTCTTTTATTGTTCTGATGTTTTTGTCATTTACAGATTAACTGCTCTGATTCCATGTTGTATTTCTTTTGGTTTTGGATAGTCCTTGAGAGTTCATTTCCTAGATTTGTATCTGGCTGGTATGATCCTTCATCTTAGATTCAGCCTGTGAGCTGAAGTTGTTTGTTCTCAGATCGAAGGACTCCCTTTAATAATTCTTGTATGTTTGGTTTGGTTTTTATATATTCCCTTAATTTCTGTTTATCTGGAAATGTCCTAATTTCACCATCATGTTTGAACGAGAGTTTTTCAGGATATATTATTCTTGGCTGGCAATTTTTTTCTTTCAGGGTTTTATATATGTCATTCCATTGCCTTCTTGACTGCATGGTTTCTGCTGAATAATCTGGGCAACAATCTTATTGTTTCTCTTCTGTATGTGGCTTCTTGTTTTTCATGAGCTGCTCTCAGGATTCTTTGTCTGTCTTTGGTTTTCGCGAGTCCATTTCATTTTTGATGATTTCTTATTTTCCTCCATTCATGCTTCATACATTTCACATTCCAGTTGTTAATGGATGTTTGCAGCAGTTTCTTCTCATTTTGAGTAGTGCCACATCAGCAAATGAAGGTCCCAAAAGCTTTACTCCATCCACGTCATTAAGGTTGAGACAGCTCTTCTCCAGTCGTATTTTGAGTGCCTTCCAACCTGAGAGGCTCATCTTCTGGCACTATCTCAGACAATATTCTACTAGTATTCATAAGGTTTTCATTGGCTATTTTTTTTCAGAAGTAGACCGCCAGGTCCTTCTTCCTAGTCTGTCTTAGTCTGGAAGCTCAGGTGAAACCTGTACACCATGGGTGACCCTGCTGGCATTTGAATACCGGTGGCATAGCTTCCAGCATCACAGCAATACGTAAGCTCCCACAGTATGGCAAACTGACAGCTGCGTGGGAGTTTGTCTATCTATCTATCTGTCTATCTATCTATCTATCTATCCATCTCAGTGACCGATGAGTGTGGGGTCCATGAGGGGCTGAGCACGGCCCTGAGAGGGAGGATTTGTGCCAAGATGGAGCCCAAGTGCCCAGAGCTGTGTTGCTGAGTAGAATCAGCTCAGTAAACACTTGTTGGTGGATGAATGAGTGAATGAATGAATCCCAGAAGGTGCAGGTGATGGCCACCTCACCTGGGCTTCTGGGGGCCCCTGGGCTGTCTCCCAAGTTGCAGTGGGCCCTGCTAGGTCCCTTCTCCCATCCCAGGGCTCAGGTGACCGAGGGCAAGAAGACCCAGGCCTGCAGAGAGCTCCCAAAGGGCCTTGGGAGACACACCTCGTCCCCGTGGGGCCCAGGTCAGTAGAGTGGGAAGCAGAAGTGGGATGAGGTGGCTTGGAGCTGGGCCAGGGTGGCGGATGTGGGAAGGAGACGGTGGAGGTGGAGGAACAGGATGGACTGGCGGGCTGTGTTGGCTGTGCAGGGCTGTGAGACCAGCCTGAAGAGCAGCAGGTGGAAGGGCTGGAGGGCAGGGGCTGGGGAGGTCAGAGGTGTCCCTCCCACCCCCCAGGCTCAGCAACAGAGAGCGTCTGGGGCCTGGGGAGGGGAGGAGGCGGCCGGGGCTCAGGACCAGCAATCTGGATGGAGTCCCTCAGGACAGAAAGATGGAGGGATCAGCTCAGCCTGTGTCCACTGAGGGTGGACTTCCACTTCATACCATCTGCACCCCTACCCTGAGGGCTTCATTGGGCCCCCGTGAGTCTGGGCTGGGAAGACGAAGACCACCACTGTGGAGGCAGTGGGGTCTCCTCATTGCCTTGCAAGAAGTGAGGCTGAGACTGCGGTCCAGCCATTAGTGGCCACCCACGGCGTGGCTCCCAGAGACATAAAAGTGGGCTCCAGGGCAGGAGGGGCCAGGTGTGCTGGTGCACGGGCAGCAGAGGGATGAGGGCTGTGCTGCTGGTGGCTCTCCTGGTGCTGGTCTCTGTGCTCAGGGCCCAGGCCATGTGGCTGGGAAGGCTGGACCCCAAGCAGGTAATGGCCTTCTGCTGGTGCTAGTCAGTCCTGGGGGGCCAGGCCCCTCCTTTGAGTGCTATGGGCTGCAGGGGACCAGCTGGGCCTGCGTCAGGGACCCCAGGCCCAGGGGAGCAAGCTGCAGCTGATATGTGGGCTCCCAGATACAGAGACGATGCCTTGGGTGGGGGCAAGGCCGGGCAGCCTGCGCCCCTCTCAAATGGTCCCCCTTCCAGCTTCTTGGGCCCTGGTACATCCTTGCTGTGGCCTCTCGGGAAAAGGGCTTTGTGGAGGGGAAGGCCGTGAGGAGCATCGAAGGGGTCGTGGTGACTCTGACCCCAGAGAACAAGTTGAAGATGCTGGCCTCTCGGAGCGGGTGAGCAGGCACTGCTCCATGTGGCCACCTGGGCCTCGTGGTAGGTGCGTCTGAGGCCAGAGACTCTGCTCCATGTCAGCCTGCCCCTGCACCAAGGCCCCCACACAGCTCCATGCTTCCCCCCTTTCCTCTGAGCCACCAGCCCTCTGCTGGCCTTGGTGCCCTGGACCCCAGTGGGCTGGGCTTCTGGTGGGACCCCAGCCTTGGCCACACACTGGTGCAGCGGCTGACAACCCTCTGCCAGCTGGGCCAGCTGGGTCAGTGAGCAGATGATGGAAGTTATGTGGACACTCCAGGGGGTGGGAGTAAGCGGTTCTTTCAGAAAATAGATCCCCAAAGAGGGTGGTCATGGGGGCAAAGTGGCCCCCTGTGGTGTCAGGCTCAGGTGCCACTGGCCTGATGGGCGAGGGTGTGCATGTGGACCCTGCAAACCCACACGGCTAGGGGGAGGGGGAGGGGCGGGGCCCGGGGGTATGCTGGTGGGGGACATGCAGCTGGGGGCCGTGTGGGGAAGGGGTCACTTCCTTTTCCGTGTTCCTTGGCTTGTGGCCGCCTCGGCCCAATCTCTGCCTCGGTCGTCACATGGTGCCTTGGCTCTCTGTGTCTCTCCTCTTTTCTAGGACCCGACTCAGCTGGGAGTAAGACCCTCCCTGCTCCAGTGTGACCTCGTGTTAGCTGATGACACCTAGTGACTAGAGAGACCCTGTAGGACAGAGTAGAACTGCCCCATGGGGTTTCCAAGGCTGTAATCTTTACAGAAGCAGACTGCCACATCTTTCTCCCACAGAGATGCTGGTGGGTTTGAACCACCAACTTTTCACTTAGCAGCTGAGCACTTAACCACTGCATCACCAGGACTCCTAAAGGACATCTGCAAAGACTCTATTTCCAAACAAGTTTACGTTCATGGTACCAGGGTTAAAACTTCACCATGCCCTTGTTTAGGGCATGATTCACCTGTGACACTCTGTCTCCTCTTCCTCCTCGTTTCTGCTTGGTTCCCCGTTTCACCGCTTTCCCCTGAAGTCTCGCTCACTGCAAACTCTAAGCGTTGCTGTTCAGCACAGATGAGCCTGGGCGCGTCTCCCAGCACTCTACCCACCGTGTGCTACTGGGAGCTACAGGGTTCTTGTTGGCTAATTTTTGGAAGTAGATTGCCAGGCCTTTCTTCCTAGTCTGTCTTAGTCTGGAAGCTCCACTGAAACCTGTCCACCATGGGTGACGCTGTTGGTATTTGAAATACCACTAACATAGCTTCCAGCATCACAGCAACACGCAAGCCACCCCAGTGACAGACAAACTGACAGAGGGGGTGCTTTCTTCACACAGATCCTGGGTAATGGTTCCCTGGGGTGGGGGGAAAGGGAGCTGATTTGCACTTTGCAGGGGCTTTCTGGGCCAGCCATCTCCCCAGACAGGTTCCAACAGGATTTCTGGGTAATTGGGGTAACTGGAAGAAACAGAAGCCCCCCAAGCTCCCTGGCCTGCACCTGTCTGGGTGGCAGGACTCGGTCTCCACTCACCCAGGTCCTGGGTCCAATCCTGAGCCAACCACGGGCCCTTCTCCCCCCAGGCTGGAGGGGTGCAAACTGACCGTTGTGGAGTTGCTGAAGCAAAGCTCCGGATGGGTGTTTGAGAATCCCTGTAAGTGTGACGCCAGGGCCTCCTCCGGGACAGGCTGGCCCCCCAGCCCCCTCGTCCCACGCAGAGTCCCCAGACCCCCCATCGGCAGGGCCACTGCCGGGGTGGGGGGGCAGGCCGACTCCACCCCAAGGAAGTTCAAGGACCTGACTTTGTAGAGGATTGGTGCCTGCCCTGAGGGGGGGGCCCCTGGACAGGGTGCCCAGCTCTGACCTCTCCCTGGCCTTGCCCCAGCACCCCCGGAGGCGGAAGGGTCTCCTCACCACTGTGTGGAAGACTGGGGTCATGACAGGGGCTGCCTGCTCCCCATGGGGACAGGCATTCACCAGTCTGTCTGTCCATATACCACGGTCTGAGCAGCCGCTGAGTGCCAGCCTGGGTGGGGCCAGGGACCAGGGGGCCGGTCCTGCCAGGGCTTGTGTTTGGCCAGGGGGCCTCCTGAGGTCAGGTCAAGCCACTGCCCACCCACCGGGTGTACTTGGTTTCAGCCCTGGGTGTGCTGGAGTACCGGGTGCTGAGCACCAACTTCAAGGACTACGCCATTGTCTTCACCCAGCTGGAGTTTGGGGATGAGGCCTTCAACACTGTGGAGCTGTACAGTGAGGAGCTGACGGACAGGCTGAGGGGACCACTGGGGCCTAGTCCTGAGCACCCATGTTTGCGCTGCAGGCCCAGGACCCCACCCCAGAGGACAGGCACACGGCTAAGCCCTGCCAGCTGAGCCCTGCTAGCCCTGGCATCCTCTGAAGTTCTGGGACTCGGAAGGGGCCCAGGAAGAGGGCCTGGGGGCCACCGTCCTGGGGTGTAGGGTCTCCTGGGCCTGGGGGCTCAGCTTCCTGTTGGAGTGGTCAGGGGCGGGCTGGCCTGATGTACGTGCTGGCTCTGCTGCTGAGGGGGACGGTGTGCTCACTCTCTCCTTGCACAGAATTGCCAAGCGGGGACCCCACAGTCCCCCCTCAACCCCTGCCCCCCTCCCTTTTCTCATTCACCTGGTTGAGGAGAAGTGGGAGGGGGCAGGGCTGCAGTGTGGGGGTGGTGGGTGGTGGGTGGTGGTGGGGCCTCGGGGCAGAGGGGGGCAGGGGTGGCTCGCAGCCTCAGGGCCCCCATGCTGGCTCTCGGTGAGGTCCCCCCGCCCACTGCCCACAGGTCGGACCAAGGTGGCCAGCCCCGAGGCCACCAGCCTCTTCTCCAAGTGGAGCAGGAACCTGGGCTACCTGGCCCAGCAGCAGGCCAGGCTGCGGGGGGACTGTGAGTGCAGGAGCGGCCAGAGGCGGGGCACCTGGGACACCCCCCCACCCCTGCCGAGGGTGGTGCAGACGTCGGCCCGGGGGCGGCACGGACATTGGCCCTCGGGCGCTGGTTGGGGAGCGGTGCAGACGTGGCATGGGGCGGTGTAGGCGTGGGCCGAGGCCTGGTCTGCCTGTCTCGGGTCCCCTAGGCCCTAGAAAGTCTGGCAGGGCTGAGGGGGGGTCTTCAACAGGTCACCCACCCCTGCCGAAAGTAGGGCCCATGGGGCGGCCCCATCTCTGATGAGGCTTGTGGGCCGAGCCTGCCCTGCTGCCGGGGTGGGGGCCTGGAGGGGCCCATGGGTGCTGGGCAGCAGGGCTGCAGCCTGTCCTGGGGGCTGGGAGGGGCGAGGGGACCTGCTGGTCCTCACAGCCCATCTTTTCCCCTTCCAGTCATCTGTGCGCACAAGATCCTGCAGGTGAGCCACCTCCCGCGTGGGCGTCAGCCCTGGGCTCCTGTACGGCGGGAAGATCCTCTTATGCCCTAGATTCAGCGTGAGGCTGAGGGCTGGGGGGCAAGCCCTGGGACTCCCATCCTCCTCTTGGTTTGCAGTGAGTGCCGTGGCCACCTCCAGCGGAGACAGTGTCCAAAACGTGGCCGCAGAGGCTGGCCGGGGTGCCGGGCGCTGGGCTGGCTTCTCCCACAGACTCTCTCTCTGGATCAGAATAAAGTGATTCCAAACCCTCACTGATGGGTTTGCACTGTGTGTGGGGCAGTGCCCAGGCCAAGGGCGTGTGAAGGGCAGACAGGTGCCCAGCGGGGTGCTGCCTCCTGGGACTCTGGTCGGCGTGGGTGAGAAGGACGGAAGGGGTCACCGGGGGCAGAACCTCAGGCACCGTGAGGTCAGTGTCACAGCAGTCCTAGGACAAGACATCTCGCCTGCACCCATCCCTGGGTCTCTCTGGTCTGGGGATGCCTGCGCTCAGGCCTGGCTGGGAGGTGGCAGGATGGGCCGGGAGGCAGGGCAGCGGCCCGATGTGGGTGGTGGTCAGCCTGGAAGGAGGAGGCCCTGTGGGGTGGTGGTCAGCCTGGAGGGAGGAGGGCCCCGTGGGACAGGACAGACATGGTTTGGTCTCTGTGTGGAGAAGGCTGGCACCAGTGCCCACCAGTGTCCCTGGCTGGGGCACCGCGGTGTCTGGGGATTGCCCGTGGTTCGAGGGCAGCAGGTGGGTCTGGGAGGGTACCCCCAACTCTCCAAGACCTGGCTTTCTCTGCACGGGGGGCTCTTGCTGCTGGGGTACAAGCAATCTTGGTGGGCAGTTTGGGCTCCCAACCCTGGCTCCTGTCTGGCCCTCCCGTATTCTGGGGGAGCGCCCAGACCAAGTCTTGGGAGATGCTCAGGCTGTGGGCAAAGGTGGGCTCAGAGTTGTGGAGGTGCTCCTGCTGAAGGTGAAGTGAGGTGTGGTGCGCAGGTGGGCACACACATCCAGCCTGGGCCCCACCCATCGGGGCCGGGGGAAGGAGAAACGGAGTTAAAAAGAAAAAGGAATCTTTGCCGCCTGCCCCCGATGCTCGATAGCGGTGAGGGCCACACAACATTGGGGATGTGCGAAACGCCACTGGGTCGTGCACGTGAAAATGGTATTTTATGTGTATTTTACCACAGTGGAGAAAAGCACTGATTGAGCACCTACTGTGTACCAGCTAGTGGGTTCTTATGTTCTCCACACCCTGAGGGCCCTGGTCTGTGGGTCAGGAGCCGAGGCTCAGACAGGTCATGTCCAGGTCATGTCTGCCTCCTTCCGGAAGGCTCTAGAATAGGGAACTGCCCGGGGAGGATAGATTTGCAGGGAGGGGAGCATGGGGGTGGAGGCTTGGGTTCCTGAGCCTCTGAGGCTGCGGGGAGTTCAGTGTGGCATCCAAAACGCAATCGGTTTTCAGGGTCCTCCTGAGAGCCAGGGCCAGCCCCCCAGAGAGGAGAGGGCAGAGCTGAGGGTGTGTCCCAGTTGCTCTCTGTCTTTGGTCCCCAGAACGGTGAGGATGGTCCCGTCTGTCGCCCCATCCCTCCCCCTACACCCCAGCTGGGCTGAGGCTCTAGGATTGGCCAGAGCCCACAGTGGGCAGAGCTGGGCTGGGCCAGGGGGTTTAAATGAAGTATCTGGCCTATCGGGACCATGGCTACGGGAGATGGGAGAGGATGAGGCCGGGGCTGCCATCCCCGTTCCTGGTCCTGGTGCTGGCCGCCACTTCCCAGGCACAGGAGCAGCTCCCCAAGGAGTCCCACAATATCAACTGGAATAAGGTAGCCCCCACACCCTGGTCCCCAAGTCAGGAGGGAGGGACATGCAGGAGGGAGTGGACAGGGGGCAGAGTCACCCAGAAACAGCCCACGCACCCCGGTCAGCAGTACAAGGCCCCAGGGGACTAAGGGGCTGGGCCCAGTGGTGCTGCCTTCCGGCCTCCCCACCGTAGCCCCGGCCCCGGGAGCCACCTGTCAGGCTGGGAGGTGGTGGCACTGTCCTCCCCCTCCTCGGGGGCCGGTCACAGCTGCAAAAGTCAGAGTCACGGCTGCAGAGCTGGAGCCTTGGGGGTGGGGGACAGGGCCATGGAGCCCCAAGCAGGGGCAGGGCGGAGGCTTAGAGCTGCTGGAACAGAGGGAAGCAGAGCAGGCAGGGCCTGTTCTAGGACAGTGAGGTTCCGCGGGGGTGGATGTGGGCCTGCGGCTGAGACACAGGCTGACCGCATAGGGAAGCAGCACTGGCCAGGTGTGGCGATGCCCGGGCCGTGGGGGCACACAGGAAGAACAGATTAGGGGCAGAAGTAGGCTGGAAGGGAGGGGGCAGGACAGCCCTTTGTTCCGGGGAGGCCCTCGGGAAAGGAGCCTGGGACTCTAGAGGGGGCAGCAGTGGGGGCTCTGACCTACTGGTGCCCAGAGCCCTTGCCTTGCTGCCCAGCCCACGACCAGCTGGGCAGCTGCCTCTCCACATGCAGGGCCGGGGTCGGGCCAGTCTGCTGCCCTGGGACTAGGCTGTGCTTGTAGGGTCTTCGTCCTGCTGGGAGCCATCAGGGAGGCGGGGGGCATCCACCCAGTCGTTCCTGTCCAGTTTTCAGGCTTCTGGTATATTCTCGCCATTGCCACTGATGCCAAGGGCTTCCTGCCGGGCAGAGAAAAAAGGAAGCTAGGGGCGTCCCTGGTGGAGGTCCACAAGGCGGGCCAGCTGAAGGTGGTCATCGCCTTCAGTCGGTGAGTGGGCTGTGGTGGGGTGGGCGCAGCTGGCCCTCCGCAGACCCCTCTGCAGACACTGCTTGCTGCAAACAGTCAGGGGCGTCTTCCTTTCCAGGGGTAGGAGCTGGTCCCTCCATGGGGCTCCTGGCTGGAGGGGGCTCAGTCTGGAAATTCCACAGGGACTGCCCCTTGCTCTGTCCCCCACCCTTCGCCCTGAAATTTAGAGGGCTTCTTTGGGACAAGTCACAGTGGTGAGTCCCACTTGGCAGCGTAGCCACCCGGCTGGGAGCGGGTGTTTGTAGGCTCCCCTGAGCTGTGGGCAGGCCCTGGTCCAGCGTGGAGAAACCCCGGACAGCAGAGCCTTGAACTGAGACAAGGCAGGGTGAAGCAATGTCCAAATGGCTACCGTAGCCCTCCCCAGGTCCCGGGGAGCCGAAGGGCAGAGCTGGGGAAGGTGGGCTTTGTGAATGGAAGAAGGGGCTTCCTGGCAGCGTGCTCACAGCTGCTGCTTTCTCTCCAGGTCCCAGGGGTGCCAGTCCCACACAGTCCTCCTGCGGAAGGACTACAAGAAGGCCGTGTTCAGGAATACCTGTGAGTCTGGTGGCTCGGGGTCTGCAGAGGGCAAGGAGGAGCGGGCAGGCTGCAGAGGGCACAGGGCGGGCAGGCTGCAGAGGGGACAGGGCAGGCAGGCTGCAGAGGGTACAGAGCGGGCAGGCTGCAGAGGGCACAGGGCAGGCAGGCTGCAGAAGGCACGGGGCGGGCGGGCTGCAGAGGGCACAGAGTGGGCAGATTCCTCTGGTCCATGGCCCAGGAGGACCTGGATGAGACACCCCCGACCAAACACCCCCAGCCACCCCACTGCCCCTGAGAAACCGTGGCAGATGGGACAAGCACCCTGGGGCCAAGATCAGGCTGGCCTTTGTCCCAGGCTTTGTCCTCCTAGAACAGATGTCCCCATGGGCCTTGGTGGGGGAGGTCAAGGGTCAGACACACCGGCCCCTGAGATACCCTCGCTGGGCTCGGGCAGGGCTCCTGACCTCGGGCAGCCTCCCGGCCCTGGCCCAGAGCCGCTAGCGCCCCGAAGCAGGGGGAGCGGCTCGGGCTGGGACCTTCCTGCAGCTCTTCCCTTCCAGTGAGGGGGATCAAAGCCTTCCGCGTGCTAGCCACTGACTACAGCCACGGGGTGGTCCACGTTCGGCTGGGCCGGGCCGGCCGGGAATACAAGACCCTGCTGCTGTTCAGTGAGTGACCGGCGGCTGCAAGGGTGGCAGGAGCCGCAGGAGCGAGGCCTTGGCGCCTACGTGTGGGGGGGCCGTGTAGGACAAGGGTGCGGAGGGACAGGAGGTCAGGCAGGCCCAGAGGATCAGAGCGTTGGCCGGCCACGGCCTCGGCCGGCCTCGGGGTGAGGCCCGCGGGTAGAGGGGAGGTAGGAGGTGAGTGAGGCAGCAGGGAGTGCTGGTGTGGTCAGCTGAGAGTTCCAGATGTTACGGGTGGGTGGCCAGGGCGTGGATACTAGGAATCGGAGTGACAGAGGTGGGTCCTGGCTGCAGGAGGGGTGAGTGGGGTGGAGAAGGCATTGCAGAGGGCAGGTCCAGAAAGGGAGAGATCAGGGAGACAGGCTGTGCCCATGGACACGTATGCTACCAGGACAATGCAGGGTTATGGGGGCAGGGGGCAGGGATCAGGGGCTGGGG